TCCTGCCGCCGCCGGCCTCGCCGCGGCGCGAGCCCCAGCCGCCCTCCGGCTCCGCGCCCGCTGCTCCTCGCGGCGGCCCCGCTTGGGAAGAGCCCCCCCGGGCCCGTTAAGGCTTTGCGGGGGAAAGTGGCTCGCTGGGGACGAGCTTCCCCTTGTCCCGCAGCGCCCGCTCTGCCGGAGCATCCTTCTCCCCAGGCACTGCCAAAGTTAGCGGCGTGAGCCAAGGCTTCCCACGTCCCGCTCCCTCTGCAGCTCCCAGGGCTYTGCGCCGCTGTCCGTGTTCGCTGGYGGCCGCCGSGGCTGGCGCGGGGCTGTGTGGTGCCCGTGGGGAGGTAATGGCAGCAGTGCTGCCGTGCCACGCTGCCTGGCCTCCCGGCAAGGCACACGCCGCCTGCAAGGGCTTCGTTGCATGGGGATCTTTACGGCCATGGATGTGCCAGAGATACCTGCCCTTAGTTGCATCCTGCTCCTTGTGGATCTCCTCGCAGGGGCTTTCCCGGGCTCTCCCTTGTGATTTCCCCAAGGGGCGCAGGGATGGGTGCCACGAGCCAGCCGGCCGCCGGGGCACCGTGTCAGAGGCCTCCTGAACATGCCGCGACTCGGCCGCTCGCACGCCTCGCTCTTGCTCTTTTCTGCCCCTCTTTTCTGYGCGCGGGGCCGAGTATCTATAATTACTTTCCGCGTTACTGTGCCTTTAAATCAGCTTAAGCAAATACGTGTAGGCAAAGCCTGGCTCAGCACAGCGGCAGCCAGGGGTTTCGGCGCAGCAGAGTGGGAAACCCAAAGGGAGATCCGGGCTGCCGGACAGGGCAGAGGCCGCATCCCGTGCACCGCGACGGCCTCGCTGGAGGCGCGCGCAGGACCCGCTCCGGCTTCTYGATGGCTGCGCTTTGCTCCCGCTGAATCCCTCCTTGGTGCATCTCTAACTTCGTGCCGCTAACGTGAGCAGGGACGTGATGCAGAATACACCGTTTTATTTTCAGCTGCGTTTTTAGATTCTTCTCAGGCAGTGCTCAAGTCTTAGGAGGGGATTGCCTCAATTACCCCCCTATCCATACCCCTTTAAAGGGAGATGCTGCTTAGGGCCGAATTGCATTAAAATGTCTGGGGAAGTTCCCTGCGCTGGAGCTCCAGACCCCACATCAGGCACTGGACCATCGCACAGGAGAAACCCAAATGCGATTTCTCGCCCGGGTTACTAACGGCAACAAAGACGGAACAAACTCTTCTCAGTGCAGGCGACTCTTCCTAGCGAGGCAGGGCGCCGCTTCCCGGCCCTTCCCAGTGCTTCCGAAACCCGCCCGGGCCCCTCTCCTCCCCGTGCCGCTGCCACGGCTCCGGGACAGGCGAGCAGCTCGCAGGGCAGCTCCGGCGCCTGCTACGTCACTGGTTTAACGATTCGCAATCTTCAGGAAGAGCCCGTAAATAAATAAATAAAAAGGCAGGGAAGATGGGCGAGAGGGGGGGATTTCTTTCTAGGTTTTGTCCCTCTCGGGGAATGAAGGTTACAAAGGTATCTCCTGTGGGTGTGTTTCCAGGGTCAAAGTGCATCCCTCCGTGGCCTTCCACAGTGCCCCCTGGCCAAAGGACTTGCACAGCACCTCGGGAAGAGCAGAAATCCCKTCCGCGGGCGCTCTGGCCACAGAGGGATGCCCTGCACTTAGTGAAAAGAAAAAGAAAGTCTGTTTCCTTCTGGCATGGCCTGTGTCATAGTTAGACCCGGATCGGGAGCCTGCAAGCAGCAGAAGTGGCGTTTGACTCCAGGCAGGAAAGTTATTTGGAGATGCGGTTGTTTTGAGACTCTGGTGTCGGCAGCAACGGGATTTGGGATTTTTTGATGCAGCTCGGAGGAGGCTGCATTGTAGCCTCCTCCCTTGCAAAGCRACGAGGGGCTTCGTCCTAACGCATGGCAAACCTCGTGCTTGCCACGGACCCAACACCCCGTGTTTTACGCCGGTGATGCTCTCGCTGAGCGCTGGCTGCTGGAGGCTCCTATGCCTAGCACCATCATAAGGTGGCAGCTCTCAACAGCATTTATGGTTTTGAGTGGGGAAGGGGCCARGCGTGCGGAAACGCTGCATTGCTCTTATTTTATTCTAAGCTAGTTTTCCTCGGTGGTCGTTGCATTTGGCTGGTCACCTCTTGAGCTAAAGCAGGGTAAGAGCGTGGTTTTACCTGCCCTTCTCTCTGCAAAGGAAGAGGCTTGAGCCGAGGTTCCCTCTGGCCATGCTGCACTCGTAGGAACTCGTAGGGGTTAAAAATCACCCAGCTGGGAAATGAAAATATTTTTAAATGCCACCTCAAGTCCCCAGTCTGCTTTAGCAGGACATTGCGCAAGTGCAGAGGAGAGAGATGGGGCTTCTTCAGCAGCTCCTTCTACTCAACGGCGTGTATGCGAAACCATGCCCTAGTTGTGTTCTCCAAGGGGTTGCTACTAGTTTAATTACATCCATTTGAAGTCGTCTTAAGCTGAACCAGTGTAGAGGAGAGATTTGCTCAGTTTGCTTGTGTCACCTCAATTAAAACCGTCTATTTTTTTTGGCCCAGGGAGTCCATTTCCTCATCTTGTTCAGCATTTACCTGTATGGGAGGTTGCTCTTCCCAGCCCCTGTTCCCCTCTCCGCTTTGCATCTGAGCCCGTGCGGGCGAGCTGTTGATTTCCCCTCACTTTCTGCCATCTCCTAGTCGAGGTCTTCSCTACTTTCTCTTCTGTCCCTTCTTGGCTTCCTGCGCAGCGCTCTTGGCACAGCTCCCGCGTCACCCGTGGGGGACGGAGGCCGCACACGTGTGCGACGGTGTCCGTCACCGTGTCCTCGCGGCTCTCTGGCTGCTGTCCTGGCCCCGCTCTCAACCAGCTCTTACTCCAGCGCTCCTCCAAACCGGGCTGCTTTCTCAGCTCCTCGTACAAAGCAGGTTATCGTTTCCTCCTGCCAGCTCCCTTGTCGGGTCCTGCCCGAGCGGGCTCGCGTTGAGCCTTCCTAGTTGGCTGTCGCCAAACGTGCGCAGCCCGTCCGGACGCATCTCCTTCCCCCGCCCCGTCCCAGAAGGTCCCTTYGGGCTTCTCCTGAAACATCCGTCCCGCCACCGCACACCGGGGCAGCAACTTTCTCCTGCCTTGCTTTCAGTTTAGCCTAAGATGGTGAAATCCCCGCAGATTGTTTGTTCCCCTATTTCCTTTATGTTGCATTTTTTCTCCAAGCATCGAAAGACTCCTCCCCTTCCTGCTCCAAGCCACCTCGCACTCGCTTCGGGTATGACCCTGCCCGCGCTCCTGGGCGCAGCCCCRCTGCCCTGGCCACCAAGGCACCTTCCTCCCTCCTTGCATCCGCAGCCGCTGCAGATGTTTTTCCCTTCGCCGCCTGACGTGCCATTTCCACGGCCGTTGGCTTGCTGTGCGTTTGAGTTCGAGACCTATCTATGGCTCCTTTACTACTATTATTTTTTTGCAAGGGCACCGCCTTTCCCCAGTTTCTCCCCCACCCCTTTTCTGCCAGGAGGATCCCTACAGATGTGTTTTGGCTTAAAATTAATCTCGCGTTTTTCACGGGCAAGGTGGAAAGCAACGGGGCGAGCGGCTGCTTGTCCTGCCCGGAGCTCGCGGCCCCGTGAGCCTGTCGTGAAGCAGGCGACTGAATGCGGGTTTGAAACGTGTCGCTTTTCGCTGCTTGCCGCTMTCACCTGCCACCCCGAGAATGCTGCTGCGCCTGTCCTTGCCCTCTTCCCCTTCACGTGTGTCGTATTCCTCAGCGCCGGGAACTTCTGTCACAGCGGTGTGGCGCTTTGCAGCCCGTCCTGCTCCCTCTGCCCTCGCCTGCTCGCTAGCGCGATAGATCCTCTCTCCCCTGCGTTTCCCCTGATGTGACTCGCGCAGCAAAGCTGCCTTAATGCTCGGACGACCAGCGCTCCAGGATTGGCTGCAACGTCCTTCCTCAAAAGCTCCACCCAGCCCACAGTGTGCCTTGGATGCTCGCGAATCCMTGGATTTCCGTACGTTTTTCCAGCCCGGACTCCTCCGAACGCCGGCACCTCCGCGAGCGGCGTGAGGCGCCGCTCGCCTGGCGGCACGTCCGCCGGTGGAGCTTGGCAGACCTCTGCTCCCATCCGGGGTCCCTCGCGGCTGTTCTGCCGCTCCGAGTTTCCCCCCCTCGCYGGGGAAGCGGGAGCGCGCGGCGGAGCGCGCCGGTGGATCCTGGATCGCCGTAATACGAAACCTTGGGGCTGTCAGCGYGTTCAGCATCGTTTTGCTCCAAGCTCCGGCTCCTGCCTCGCTCCCGGAGGTGCTGGGGGTCCCTGTTGCGGCACAGGGAAAGCTGTGGGGGGATCTTTCCGTGAATACGTGTGAAGGTGCCCGTGGGAATAGCCTGGGGGTAGCCTGTGCGTTGGAGGTAAAAAGGAGAGAAAAAAAGTTGTTTAATGAGAGTGGGTTCGGTGCCGAAGCACGGTGCGTTTCTTCTAGACATTTCTTTCTCTGCTTTTCCAGCACGCCAGGCATCGGCCCAGCGTGCCTGGTGATAAAGCTGGGATAGCTCAAGCGAATGCAGGTGTCCCTGAGAGCCTTACCCACCCCTGCATCTCTTCCTCTCTGTTTTCGCAGGCAGAGGGGGCTCCTCGAGCCCCGGCAGGTCCCGGCAGGTGACAAGCAGCTGTCATGATCTCTACGGCACCTCTGTACAGCGGGGTGCACAACTGGACGAGCGCGGAGCGCATTCGCATGTGCGGCCTCAACGAGGAGAGGTGAGGTGCGTGGGCGGCCCGGCGGGGCGAGCGAGGCCGGGGCCTGCGGAGAGCCCGGCCGGGGTGCGTTTTCCCGGGAATCTGCCCGGCAGAGGGAAATGGCTAYGGGGTTAAAAGCGCCGTCGCCTGATGGTGCCCGCATCCAGTGCCCCGGCACRGGGAGGAGCCGGTGGCTACGCGTGGCCACGTTGTGTTTCTGGTGCTGAAGGCTCCGTTGCGAGGCTGTTTGGGGCTTTTGCCGGTGCCCTTGGGCTTCATTGGAGCTGTGCAACTGCCCRCACAAGAACTGGGGAAGGAAACGGCTTGACCCGCTACAAGCCAAGCTGTTAAGAAAAGCTTTTGGTGACCCGGGAGGGTTAGTATAGACCAAACGATTAGATGGGAGAGTTGTGACATGCCACCAACTAGGAGATTAGGGAGGATTAGTGGCTGGGAGGCAGAATTGATCGAGGCGGGTCCCCGGYCCGTCTTGTGGCGTTGCAGCGCCCATTTATTCCCGCAGCTTTGGGCTATCGCTGTCCAAAGGAGCCCATGTGGGGCTTCCCTGCAGTCGGGGTGGCCRCCAGGCTGTGCGGGGTCAGAGGCAGCGTGTGCGGCATCCCCTGCTCGGGGTGTTCCAGGCGCAGCTCCTGCCAGGGGCCGGCTGCGGGTTGGGAAGAGCCGTGGCTCCCGTTTGGGGCGGAAACGGGGCCGAGCTCATCCTCGCCCSGGCAAGCTGCGCCGCCCCAGATAAGGCCCGAGTCCGCGGATAAGGCTCCGAGCCGCTCGCTCCGCGCGGCCGCGCGTCCCTGCCGGGCGCAGCGGCGCCGGGGGAGCCCCGCACGAGCTCCCCACGCCGCCCGGGCTGCTCCGCGGCCCTGGGCCTGACAGAGGTCCGGGGGTAGGAAGGGCT